TCCTTTGTTTTCTGCGGTGCTCCTGGGCGTTCTGCCATGGTCCTGCTCTGCCGTGCTCCTATGTCTTCTGCAGCGCCCCTGTGTTCTGCGGCGCTCCTGCGTGTCAAAGTTGAAGTTAAAGACGGGGCCTTCAAGGCGTATGGGGAGGGAAGGAAAGGGGCCGAGGGGCCACCAGGGGCACCGAGCGCCACCCGAGACTCGCCCTCCCGAGAGGGGCCGCCTAGGGCCGCCTCTCCCCGCGGGGGGCGCACTGGGCCTCCACCGCGGCCGCGCCACAAGGCGAGAACAGATCTACATGCAGAATGCAACTGCCTGCCTCACTCACTACTCTTGGGCCGCGTCGTGCAACGCGCACGGACCAAGAGACCGTCGAGGAGCCGCGCACGCTCCTCGGCATCTGGACAACCTGCACTGCCGAGGTGGACGCCGAAGGCGCGGGCCTCGACCCAGTCAACTCCCGACTTCGGCCCCTGGGCCGCACGCGCCACCGCCGCCACCGAGAAGTCGTCCAGGAATGAACCGAACCCGCACTCCGAGCCCGAGAGGCCCCTCAGCCTCTGCTGCTTCGGGGTGAGCTGGTCCGTCTCCAGCGCGTCCTCGTCGCGCAGCACCGCTCCCTGCTCCGAGGCGGGGGCGGCGGCAGCGGTCGGCGGCGCCAGCGCCTGCTCCTCGAACGTCTCGCCCTTCTGCGCGCAGAGCGGCTCGATGAACGCACTCTCGCCGAGCACCTGGCCGACGCCCGCGTCGTCGCTGACCACGCCCAGCACCGTCTCGCCCTTCTGCGTGAAGAGAGCCTCGATGAACGCGCACTCGCCGAGCCCCTTGTCCACGCCCACGTCGTCGCTGATGACGTCCAGCACCGTCTCGCCCCTTCTGCGCGAAGAGCGCCTCGATGAACGCGTTCTCGCCGAGCACCTGGTCGACGCCCACGTCGTTGCTGATGACGCCCAGCTCCTGCTCCTCGAACTCCTCGCCCTGCAGCGTGACGAGCGGCTCGATGAGCGCATCCACGCGGAGCACCTGGTCGACGCCAACCTCGACGCGGATGACGTCCAGCATCTGCTCCTCGGACGTCTCGCCCTTCTGCGTGAAGAGCGGCTCGATGAACGCGCTCACGCCGAG